ATGCCAATCAGTGATATAAACACCATTATCTCAACATTGTAAATGAAACAGCTGTAATGAAGTGTTGTCATTTAATTACTAATGCCAGAGCTGTTGCATTTAAAAGACAGGACACAAATTAAATACAATGTAGTTCCACCCCAACATATGATTATGAAAAACAGCACATTTGAACAGATATATGTCCAGACAGAATTACCCACGTAACTACTAACCAGTGAAAAACGGACCCAGCAGTGGCTCCATGAGCAAACCTAAGTTATGAAAACCAAAATGACCTCACTCCCCACTTTTTCATAGCATTAAGATGCCTGTGCCGTGCCGTCACTGGGAATTATTTTGTCTTCTTTCTTTGTGATATTTAACTCTGATCATCCAAAATAAAAGCACCAAAAAATGTTTACACCAGCACTGAAAGTGAAACAGGAAGTTACTTCTCTACGGCGAGTGAGTCAGCAGCAGCGGCGGCACTTCCTCTGGATAATGGTGGTTTACTGGTAGAAAGTTAATGTAAAGCGCTGGGGGGGTTTCTATAGTTTGCATTAGCAGAAACTTCAAAGAACAGACTTGATTACAGCTCAGCAGATCCCAGATCAGTGAGGGTTCTGTCTTTAAGGGAATATACAGACACATACTTGCTGTGTTACACAGGCACTAATAACTGTCTGAAAGAGGAACACAGCCTTTGAAACATGATCTCTGAAGTCCATTTCCTGATTAATATGCATCAAGCCAACATGTTTCAACCTTGTTTATACTCGCACAAGACACCACGGCCCAGGCCTCTGTAGATGGCGTGCAAACTACAAGCTTGCACAGAGGCATTTAAGGGTAAACAAAAATTCTGAGGAGCATGACAAAGTATTGGAGCTCTCATGTTTGCTTCTTTTAATAGCATAAGAGATCTCTAGGTTAGTTGTTTGCTTCTAACGCTGTCTGCAATGTTATTTGCTCATTTTATGTTCATTCTCCGTCTTGCACACTTGTCCTCTTGTCCGTGTAGTTTTTACCATCCACACAGACAGCCACACCTCGTAGTTTCAGCTGCAACCGTGAGCTAATGTCTCAAATTCAATGCAGTTCCTCTAACACACCAGAACTTCTCTATCATTCAATCTTTGTTGCACATGAGAGAGCAAACTGTTTGCGCATAAAGGTGCACTCGTGCTACCACCACAGACGGGATCAATTCTGTGGGAAACACTGGGACCCTCAGGGTTTGAACTGACTGAATTCTGAACCACAGTATCAAAGCTCTCGTCTGCTGTAAGGGAACAGTGGTACACAATCTGAGACAGAACTCAACACAACATGCTACAACCTAACAGTTTAAGCCAACCTGCAACCATCCTATATAAATACACTGTTGTTCCTAAAGTAATCAAGGATCAATAATCGAGAATTACATAGCAACCCTAGTGCATAATATGCATGTAATAACTGGCTCAACAGGTTTGTCCAGTAATTTATTAGACCAGCACAACTGGAAACAGAAAATAACAATTACAGGCTGAGGTCATATTCTGCCTGACTCCACATACAATATCTCAGTCCCACTGTAGATTGTTTTTATTTTCAGGTAGTGACACTCACCAAGGCCTAGTAGGTTCACAGCAGGTTCTGCAGTCTTTGAGGGGCTGATTTTGGGAACTGGCCTGGACTCTTCACTCTTTCAAAAATAAAAAATCGTTATAAGAGGCAGATACAAATGAGGGTCAAAATCGGTCAAAAACAATGCAGAGGAGATGTCCATAGAAATCTATTCAAAAGGTGATGTGTTCTGATACCTTGGTGTAGGATGAGACCTTGCTTCCTCTGTCTGGCTCCCTCTCTTTCTTACTGTCTTTAGGCTGAGAACACAAGATAAACTCAACATGAGATAAACACATAAAACATTGATGGAGGAACTTAATCAACCGTATGTTCAAAATATTGAACACTTTTGTTTGTACTTACACTGATCCCATTGGTCACATTCTTGCTGTAATATTTCTTCTTCTCATATTTATCCCTGATGAAGAATTCCACTGCTCTGAGGTCAGAGTTAAAGGAAAAAGAAGCAGCATACCAACTTAAAACAAATGACTTTCTACATCATTTCACTGTTTTGCTCTGAGTGAAGGATACTGGTCTGTTTGAGGTCTTCTGAAACTATCTGGAAGGTTGGCCTCATAAAGCTTCCTGGCCTTGGTGTTACCCATATCCTGTATACTCTGAAATAAAAGGAAAGACAGAAGGGTTAATAAGAAGAGGGAACTTTTCATAAAGGCACAATGAAATATTTAAAGGGTTCTCCACTCTGAGTTTATTAGTTTGCTCATCATCACTCGTGCTGCTAAGGCAGGGAAAACAGTGCTACAACGTTTACTGTGGCTCCAGTAGAGCTTTCTGACATGAGAAAATAACCCTGATGGTGTTTTCACAGTTTTCTGTTATCTCAAAAACGTGCTTCAGTTGTAATTATGACTACAATGTTCTCATTAATGGTTATTTGCAAGGTAAAAACTGGTAGTTATGGTATTTGGTAACGTCCAAATGACATGATGCGGCAGCCTGACAGGCTATCAAGTTGCATCGTGGGAAAGGGACACTCGATCCACACTAGGGAGTCATTATAAACAGTGCCCTACTGGGCTTACATCTTGAAAATGGAAAGTTTTGCTATTGTCACAGGTTTAAGGAAAAGACTTGTTGTTAACAGAGTACAACTGGGACAAAATCAGTTTTCTTATGACCCTTAAAACAAATTTACTCAACACTCATTTAGGAATATGAATATGAAATGGAGGGGATTGAGAGTTAACCGGATTATTGTGGAACTTAACAAATGTATGGTAGATAGTTTTGGTAAATGGTCTTTAATTATTTTACGCATACCTAGTCTTGATAACCTTTCAAGCACCTTACAGGGCAGTTTTGCCACTCACACTCAAGGCAGCACATTTTCTGCCACACACCACTCACACACTGCTGTCAGTGGCAATTTGATGTAGGATGGAACCGGCAACCTTCTGGTTAGTGGGCGACAGACTCTACCCCTAGAGTCACAACCACACAGTATTAAAAAATGTGTAACTTATGTACATATTCTCCATATTTCTAGTCTATTCAATTTGTTTTACTTTTACGTGGGCTCTCATTTAGACTGCCTGCTGCTACAATAGGATTTCCCCAACATGGCATGAACGTTGTCTATCTTGTCTCATCATCAGTACCTGGATCTGGTCTGAGGTCCATTGGTCCAGGTTGACTGACTTCACTCTAGATATGTGGACTCCCAGGTTTCTGTGGATGCCCGCACATCGGATGCAGACGAATACTCCCAGATTCCAGGATGCCCATCTTGGACCTGACGAAGCAACAACAACAAAGAGGTGGTTGTTATTTTATTAAGGAGAGATGCGTGTGATACGTTCACGTGCATGATCTTGTTGGGACTTCACATTATCTCAACTCTTTATTAAATGGCCAACATGAAGATCAATGTGTGGTTCCCATGGAGGAGCTACCACCGGTGGTTAAACGCCTGTAACACCCGGAGGCGAAGCTGTTGGAGGCGGCGGGGCAGAGACGCTGCCGGGAGCTTATGTGGGTTAAGAGAAGTTAGCTCGCTGGTTAGCCACTTAGTTTAGCTTAGCTTAGGGGGAAGAGGTGTCAGCTGACTGACCGGAGCCAGTAACAAACTAGCGGGTTAGCTTAGCCATGCTAATCAACGCATATGTTACGTCGCTCCTCGGCGTTAGCGGCGGATTCAGAGTGAAAGTGTGAACTTAGTAGAGGAAGAGAGGAAATAAAAAGTCGACGGTGTGAACGTCGCACCTTTCGCCTCGCAGTCGGCGCAGTACTTGTTGTCGTCCTCCCTCAGCATTTTGGACAGGATGGCCTGGTGCTGCTCGTTCAGTTTCTGGGCCTTTTCTCTCTCCGAGCGGGTCGCCATGTTCGCGGCTGCGGCGGGACGTTATCGATGAGGAGAAATGTGCGTGAATCAGTCGATCGAAAGTCGTTTCTGGTAAAAGACCATAATCAGAGGACCGGACGCCTCCGAGTGGGGAAATGAAAACACCCGGAACCGGAATCCTGTCTCCGCCCACAGGAATTCTAGAGCTGACGCGGCGGCGGCACCGGATTGGACGACAGTGCTGACGTCGTCTGACGCACGGTGGGGGTTTTTTGTGAATTAAGTTTTACATTTTTATAAAAAAATCCTTGATGTGCACAAAGAGTCTCTCAGATCATTGTCATTAATACATTTACTGGAGATATTTCTCTCTCTCTGACTCCAGAGCTGCTGATCTGACACCACTCATCTATTATGAGTAGTAGTAGTATTGGTAGTAGCAGTGTTAGTATAATTACTATCAACAGGTGCTACATCATTAATAAAATCATTACATCTATAAATATCGTTGTATTTTTTTCGTTATAAAATCCAGTCTGATAGAGCTTAAAGGGATAGTTCACTGAAAAATGAGTGAAGTGTTTGAGTCCACAAAACAATTTAGGAGTCTCAGGGTTAAACAGCGTTGCAGTCAAATCAAATATAATTGAAGTAACTGGCGACCACATCTTCAAATGTATAAAAACATCACATGCCTCTATATTGCCTGTGGTGTTATTCAAGTTTCTGTAGGCCCAGATATTTAAATTCAACTCAAAACAACTCAATATTTGCTGTTATCTTCCTCTGAGTTACTGCTGCAGCTATCTCAAGTTCTCGCGAGAACTGCAGCAGTAACAAACTCCTCTTTCCCCCATTTTCCTCCGCTCACCCAAACCGGTCGAGTCAGATGACCGCCCACACTGAGTCTGGTTCTAGAGGAGGAACTGTTGTGTTTCTCTGTTGTATTGTAAGGTCTGGACTTGAGCGCTTTGAAATAATGTATGTTATGATATGGTGCTTTACAAATAACACTGAATTGAATTTCTACTGGTTGCTCATATTAATGAGAAGATAATCATTGTTAGTTTTTCCTATGGATGCAATTTAACATCACATCAGCTGCAGCTCCAAAGTTTATTGAATATGAACAAGAAAATAGAAACAACCAAATAATTAACATGTACGTATATACAGGTTTATCTCTAGGCCTCAAACGTTTTGTACACTTTCAATAAAATTGAATAAAATAAGAATTTCAAAGACACTGATAAACACTAACATACTGTACATTGTTTATTACCGATTGGCAAATGAACAAAGCTCCATGGTTATTTTGTACATACAAACGGGATCTTAACATAAAACCTACTTGTAAAAAGACTGAAAGGGCAATTCATTTCTTTTTGAAATGCACTCTACAACAGACCTTCACAGACAGTAAATTAGTCTTGTTGCTTTACGGCAGTTTGCCTCCTTATCAGCTTTCTCACACACACACACGCACGCACACACGCACGCACGCACACACACACACACCAGCAGCAGCACTGTACAGGCAGACTAGAATTAGAAACACTGATATACAAGTGATACACCACTGCCCTAAAAGAAGGTCTCCAGGCGGATCTTGAAGTGATTCTCCTGGTGCCTCACCGCAATCCCATAGCGGAGAAGCATCTCTATGTAGGGTGGCCAGAATGTGTCGTCTATCGTCACATAGGTGTCGTGTGGTGTGCTCAGGACCTTGTTCATGAGCACCTTCAGGGGAACAGGAGATAGACTGGGGTTAAACAAATCTGCAGTCAAAGTGCACGATGTTACTTATGTTAACTAATTTAGTGAAACAGAACACACTGGACAGAGACAGACAAGAGAAGGAGAGAGATGACAATAGATGATATACACACATTCATTACTAGATCATTCTGAAGCAAAATATGTGTCTGTAAACCTGTAATACAGAGAGGCAGAACAGGGATGATAGGAGTGAGAGTATGACTGTATATCTCTATCGGAAATATAAACAACGAAAGTATAGGCATGGTGTTTATTATTGACATTACCGCACCATTCAACAGCTACCACAGGTGGGAGCTTCTGCATCACTACATACTTGTATTTTAGAACTGTTGTGAAAAATAAAAATACTAATACAGTAATAAAATTGAAACTATCTGCACAACTGGGGGAACCATCAGTAGCCTTCAGTTGTCATAAACACTGAAAAATTGTTTAGTTCATCCAATTTGGACGACTGTAAGGACCATGCCGGCCGCTCCTGATGTAAATATAAAGTATATAAATATAAAGGGGCCATTCTTGGGTAAAGAAAACCACAATTTGTATAATTTACACACTCGTGTAATTAGTTGTGATTAGTTGTTCGAATCTCTCTTCAGAATAAAACTTACTGACAGGCAGGAAACATCTGTTTGGATTAACAAAGCTTAATATTAGATGGTTTTACAAAAACTCAACTTAATGCTTATTATGTGGTGCACGCAAACTGACCTCCAGGATTTCACTAAGTGAAATCAAGTTTTCATTGATCCCCAGTTCAACGTTCTGAAAATGAAAACAAACAATGGTAAGCAGCACAGGAGCAGTAACAGCACAGATATTTACATGTAAATGGTCAGTCAGACATGACAACACAATGCAGGTCACTGCACCTTCTTCTTCCTGTTTGTAGTGGATTCAATCTGAGGGGGAGGAACATGCTTCTCCAGGACGTCCCCCAGAGACTCCATCAACCTCTCCTGGTACACCTTCATTTTCTGGATTTTTGCCTTGGTGTCCTGCAGTACACTGTGGAATGCATGTTTCAATTATTTTTAACAGAATGTTTTCCTCTTTCCACATTTCTACTGCTCTTCACATGCTGTGCCGCCTCTGGAGGAGATGCACCTCATAACGTGGAGTCCTCTGGTTCAGTGTGACTTAACCACCCTGCTCACCTCTGCTCTGATAATTTCTCCTTGTCCATTTGAAGTCGTTCAACGTGGTCATTGGCTGCTAATAGCACCTGTTTCTTCTCCTCCAACCACTTCAGTTCACTAAGAAACACAAACATTAAATGTTCATAGAAATATACAGAGCAAAACAAGAGAAAAATCTGAAAAATCACAACTGAAAAGCATTTACGTGATCTGTGAGCCCGTTCAGACCAGATATTAACATCTGTCCTGAGTGATCCGATCACAAGTGGCCAACTCTACAGGTCTGAAAACACCCAAATGCATCCTCAATGTGGCTTGAAATCCAATCACCCAGACCACATTAGGAGGTGATCTGGGACACATGTGGTCACATTCTTTTCACTGTGGGAACGCAAATCCATCCTGGGCCACATACTACTCTGCTGACGTCCACAAACAAAAGTGTTGTTACTCTTACCCATACATTTATTTGTTTGTGGCTACAATATCAATCACTGATTTATTTTTTTATCTCAAATGAGTAAAATCCTTCTTTCATAGCAGGGCAGCTGATTGATTCACTGAGCTCCTTTTACACGCTCTCTTTCTCGCTCTTGCCAACACACACAAACACTGTGAACTCTTTAACTCAGACATGCTAAAAACCTAATTTGGTTTTTGTGTACACAAATTACATTTGTGATTATTTGCATATAGAGCAGGGAAGAGAGACCTCTCGGGATAGATGTAAATACCAGGTATGAACAGGATTAGATGACAGGACCTGAAGCTATGGAAAGCCTGCAGTGTAACTAAAATATTACGTACAGTTCTTTGGTGTCTCTCAGTTTGTCTCTCTTTGCTTCATAGCAGGAAGCAACCATCTCAAGTTCTGAACACAGCTTAAGCATCTGTGAAAAAAATACAGTGAGAAAAGTAATATATATATATATATATGGTATTTTAGTGAGACATATTCTTAAATGCTGCAGTTTATACATAAACATACCTCCTCTTTTCCAGCTTGAAGTAAAACCTCTGAATTTGCTGCCAGCACTAAACAACGCAAAATAAGTTAAAACATTATACATATGTACATTTTGTCATATTACACATTTGATGTAGCATCTTTAACAGGAGATTTTAAATAGGAGATGATATGGACCCAACAGCTGAACTAAACGATTGAGCGATTAAACAGTGATTCACCAGTTTAACTGGCATAAAACCCTGTCAGTGATTTGTGGAAAATAATTCTTCAGTTGTAAACACTTATGATACAACATGTTTACATCACAGCGTTCATGAAGGACTTACATTTAGGCTCCACTGCCAGCCACTTCTTCAGTTCAGCTTCTGTTGCAATCAGTCGATTAACTGACTAATGCAGATGGATATTCACATGTTAAAAAAACAGACAAACACAAAACCTTTACAGGTGATTAAATATCAAATTCTTTACATGTATTATTTTATATTTTAAGACTGAAAAACACATTTTCAGACACCAATGTGCTTATAGGATGACTTTCTGATCGCCCTACACATCTTTGGAGCCAAAAGGTTTTGTCTTGGTCATTTATTCATTCTGTTGAAAGTTATTTTGTTTTATTACTATTACTATTTGATAATTACTAACTGCAACAGCTAAAATGAGGTCATAGAGACACATCATTCAGACCTGGTATAAATATCCATCCTGAGTGATCTGATCACAAGTGGAGAGCTCTATTACTGGACTTTTTAGGTCTCGAACTTCTATGTAAAGTGCCTTGAGATAATGTATATAATTTGGCTTTGTGCAAATAAAATTGAATACAATTGAATTGAAAGTGTGAACATATGAACGCATTTGAAATGCAATTTCTGTGTGAAACTAACAAAACCAATTTAAATTGAAGTGTGTGAATGTTCATCCATGTGTGTGTGTATGCAGTGCACTACTACTATTACAAGTACTACCACTGAGTCACAATGAGCATCTCGGCTGGTGTGATGTCATCCAAAATGCTCTTTAATTAATCATGCAACAAATTATTTTAATAAGCAGAAATGTCTAATACTTCCAGTTCCAGCTTATTTTCAAAGATGACACTAAATGCCATTGCCCTTTGGAAAAAAATAATACAATCAAATACTTCTCCTAGGACTCTGGCAGACTCAGAATCAGCTTCATTTGTCATATATGAGTACACATAATAGGAATTTGACTCTGGTGTAGTTGCACTCAGTGTACTTACACAAATAAACAATTAACAGCAGACTACCAGAAACTTGCAAAATGACCACTATGTCCAACAGTGGTGCAAGGGGAAACAAAATGTGCAAGGGTGGACAAGTAACATTTAACCCCTATCTGCCAATTTAGGGATCAAAAATTTAATTGTGACGATTTTAGCAAGCTTATATGTTTTCTTAACAGGGGAGTGACATCAGGATGGTGCTGCGGAGAAGCATTAATGATGTTAATACATGAACATGTAAAGTCTGCTCACCTGCTCCTGTGGGTTCTCACAGGAATCTGGTTCAGACAGTATGATCTCATTCTGAAGCTGAGGAACAGAGACACAGTTGGTCACAGTGAAGGGTGTGTGTGTGTGTGTGTGTTTAGGTTAAAGCTTCTTACCTTCTCCAGCTGAGAGAACTGTTCCTCACACAGCTCCAGCAGCTCAGCCTGAGCAGCCTCTGACAGCTCTGCTGCCTGTTCAGCTGCCCTCACCTCAGCCTCCACACACACACACACACACACACACACACACACACACANGAGAGAGAGAGAGAGAGAGAGAGAGAGAGAGAGAGAGAGAGAGAGAGAGAGGGGTTAGATGCGTTCAGGGTTAGTTGATGTATGGACATTGGAAAACTCTGGCAGCAGCAGACCCTCTGAGTGGAGCTGTCCTCCACCATTACAATGTCAGAGTGGATACAGAGTAATCGACTCAAGGTCCACACACACACACACACACACACACACACACACACACACACACACACACACACACACACACACACACACACACACACACACACAATAAGTCAACAAGCAGATAAGGTACGTGTGGTTGTATCACAATATCTAAGTCACAGGAAAAGATGGCGCTGTGTGTGTTAGGTCTTGGCTGTCCGCAGTTCACGCTGCAGAATTGAAAATGTGTGAGTTTACGTTAACGGAGCAAATATTGTCATCAATGAATAAGAACATATCTCACTCTACGTTACTGTGTCGTTGTGAGATTCACAGCACGGTGTCAAAGCTCGTGTTTTCTTACCATAGAGTGTCAAATGTTCGTCTGTGAGCGGAAAACAACAACAGCCGCCTTCTGTTCAAAATACCGCCAACTTTGATGACGTCACGTCCGCGACAGCGTGCGGAGCTGATGCTGCGCAGCACCGCGCAACTGCAGAGAGGGATGTCTACAAGTGTGCTTTGAACTGTTTAGGTGCGCAACTTTTTCAATTGAAATATACACAGAATCCATAGAAACAGCTCACAGACATCACACATGCGCAGACAAAGACAATATATTAGTTATATTAGATATTTAGACAAATACAACAGAGGATCTATCACATACAAAAAGGGTTCAGGTGGTTTTACACCAATAAAATAACACTTGTGATTACAAACCTCCTCACACTCGACCTCCAAAGGGGGGGCTTAATCAAAATACAAATAATTGTCCTTAGAAAACCTATTTGCTTTACAGCTGTGCATCTCAAAATAATTTAAAATTATTCATAAACTCTTCAAAAGAGCTCTTTGGATCTTCTCCATTTTATATAATATGATGATGTTGAATCATGTTAACTAGTACGAGTTTAGATGATCCAAATAGAAAAGAATATTGGAAATGTTAGAGGTCAGATTGCAGTTTACTTTAAGTGACAATTTAGGATATAGAGCCAAAATTTGTTTGAAACAATACATGAAATAACCAGGGCTCTAATGTTTTGTCTCAATACAAGGCACAAGGGTCCACCTCAGAATTAAACCGTTTTTTAAGAAATTATGCCGACGGGTATACCTTGTGAATTATTTTAAAGTGGGGGTCCTCCACCTTTGGGGAAGGTGTAGGTCTGAAACCATGACTCTGCCACGTTAGGTTTCCATGCTGTTTTCTGGGTAAATGGGTAAATCAGTGTAAAATAATTGGTTCTGTCAGTTGTCTGTAAATACATAAAGGGCAAACACAAACAATGTAAACATGCCTTTATCCCCAATACATATGACAGCCACTGTCACTGGTCACTTGAAGTTTAAACCACAGACATGCATATATATTACAAGATAAATATATTCAATGTATTTATCCATAAGGAACTTCATTAAAGCATCAGTGCATACCTTTCACATATAATGCAACCAACAGTTGATAAATGTAACTGTAAGAAAAAGACAATAAATAGTGTTAAAATAAAGTGTCAAAATAATAGATCAGCCATTAATGAGTCTGATGGATGTTGGCACAAAGCCTGACATGGCTCTGCTAGTCCTGACTGTGAGTGAGCTGCATCCCTGGCCACAAGATAAGTGACTGTATTGGCTGTGTAATGTGTGTGGTCTGAGGCTATTCGCTCTGCTTTTATCCTAATACTTTTGCATTTGCAGTAGGTTAATAATCCAATATTACATAGGCTAACCCATCCTGCATTTAACTTAAATAAGTTAAGTGATTCTGATGGCATGACTTGAGGGAAAGTTAAAGATCAATACACTGTCATTGTTTTATTCAACACTGAGATAGTATACACATAAAGTGATACTTTCAATATGCTCAGACTCCCTCATGCATTAATCCCAGCAGCCTGTAACACTGTGTGTGTGTGTGTGTGTGTGTGTGTGTGTGCAGTAGGTGTTAGAGTGAGGTCTGGTATTGACTGTGTGCAGGAGGTGTCATTCTGTCTGGATGTTCCGGACAGTAGACCTAATGCAGTGCTGCACAGTATGGGTGAAAACTGACTCCAGAGGACAATGATTCTATGATTGTCCTGAAAATGGCATTATTAGCTCTGATGACATTTCTGCTGTGAGAGAGGGTTTCCTGCAACATTACAGGTTATATAATGGCATAAGAATTGAATTACTGAGAAAATCTAATTTAATTCCTGATTATTTCATGGATTTTCAGAACAAAAAAAAAGTTTTTGTCTCGAGGAGAAAACAAAACAGACTTAAGAGGCCTTTTTCCTCTTTCATTATTCTATTTAAACTTCTTTTTGTCTTAACATATACATAAATAGATTTCCTCACATCAAGATACAAAACTTGCACAATGCACCTCATCAGCATGATCCTGATGAAGCAAATAAAGTAATTCTTCTAACTAAATATTCAATATTTGCTAGAATATTAAATTTTCAGGTGAAATAACATGATATATTATTCCTTTTATAAGACACACTGAAACAAACACACACACACACACACACGCACACGCACATCATGGCAGTGTGCTGGAGTTCACTGTCAGGTATACACCAGCAGGTGTCTCTGTTTGCCTCTGCTCTGACTGGAGTTTGCAGCTTCAGTCAACACCTGCACCTTCTTGTTCTTCTCCCACTTCTCTCCGGTATTCTTTATTTCATCGTCTCAGTCTGAACACTGACTCTCTTCTTATATCCAGTGTAATTTAGTCTGACTCCTGATTTAAAGAATCCATCAGATGTGGATGTGCTTCCAGATGACGACCACTTATTTCATTTCATGTTATTTTATTTTTGAATTCAACTCTTTATTGTTTATTATGTAATTGTTTTGCTCAAATGAAGTTGTCCATCATTTGTATTAACTAAACCTCATCAGGTCATAGTTAGTTACTGTTACTTGACACCTGCATTTATCCATAATGGTGATTTTATTTTGTTTTTTCACTATGGCGTGTTGCTTTAAAATTTTGAATCATTTAGTGAGTCATTAAATAATTCAGTTTAAGATGGAACGGTTTGGACAGTTCATATTGTATCTACTGTGTCTTCAGCAGCCTCTTGTTTGCCTTGTGACTCCTCACGGTGTGAACTGGAAGCTGTTTCAATGTTTGTTAAACCATTATTTCCTCTACTCTGCTGCCTCTCTGTAATATTTATCATGGCACCAACCTAGATCCATGAGATCTGCTGTCTGAGACTGAGGCAGATACACTTCCACAGCAATTATGTGCCATTCTGTCATTTGTTTTGTATAGATTTTTCTGACTGAACAGTGCAGAAATGTACAGAATGCATGAGACAATCTGCATCTCTTTCTCTCTCTATTCTCTCTTACACTTGTTTATTTATGAGAAACAGGCTCATATGTTTGCTGTTGTCAGTTGTAATCATGTTAATCTATCAATGAATTTGTTCCAACAAAATTAAAGGAGCAATTTAATCCAAATAACCAGACTGTGTCTGAGTGTTATAATTTGGTGGGCATGCAGCAGCAGAAGTAGAGAAAACCATATACATGTTATATTTTTACTGATTTTCCTGGAATATGATTTCAAGCCCCATCCCAAAAAATAATCACATAGCCTGGATTATTTGAATGATCAATTAGAATTTGATTAATATGCAAATTTACGAACAAACTGTTCCATTTGAGCCTTCAGCGCAGCCTAATTAATCAACAGTTAAAGGAAATTAATACATACATCAATTCTGTCAGGAACATGCTTAGTTCAATCGCCCGTAAAATTGAAGTTTGAAGTATTAACTGGCTCCACAGGAAGGCTATGATTAAAACTCTACAATTCAGCTCTATTTAGATATATAGAGTGATTTAACTGCAGGCAGATATAAAGTCATTTACAGATCTCCTTTTTATACTTATTCAATAATAATAATGGCAATAATAATAATAATTTGAAATTGAGGGACTGTTTGAGGCCTATGGATATAATTCTTTTTCACATTTTCTGCAAAGGTTGACCCTATACATTTTTTATAATGTTTAAATACTGTCACTCAATGAGTGTCTCAAGGACCAGTGTCTTAATTTACACTTTGCACCTGAGACGTTACCACAAGGTGCAAATAATAAGAGCGAGAGAGGGAGAGAGAGGGAGTATAAAAAGGGGAGGGGAAGAGATGAAAAGAGAGGGCTGTACTATTGTTTCAGTAGGGACTCATGCATCAAACTTCAATTTTCCGCACGATTGAAGTAGTGATTTTTTCCATCTTGAAGTGAAATACTGAAATACACTTAAGACCTCCAGATTAATTACCACGAAGTGGTCCCTCAGACTGTAGTATTACTTATCGCTGGGCCCGCCTGACAAGCCCTCATAAAATAAGCAAGTGGAATCCATAAACTTAGCCTGCCTTAACACTCTCTCCCTTCATAAATATGCTTGATTCAGAATGGGCTGCAGAACACACACACAAACACACAAACACACAAACACACAAACACACAAACACACAAACACACAAACACACAAACACACAAACATACATACAGAGAGAGTGAGAGTTGGAATATCTAATATATGAATGAAAGAGTCACTTTTTTGTGTAGATGTGGCTTCAGAATAAAGGTTTACCTCTGATATTTTGCCTAATAAGTGTTTTATAACACACTATTGTCTGAAGGTAAGCAGATACAGGAACAAAGTGTACAATATTTATCACAAATGTAAATTTCTACAACACTACATTTTTATATTATTACAGAGGCTGCATTTATGGAGCCCGCATCAGGAGTTAGAGAGGGCAAACACAAATACATTATAAAGGCTTTACTGCTTATAAATGCTATGTGAGGGATCCAAGTAAAGTGAGGTTTTTTATTTTAAGTATATATTTTTTTCATATTTTTTCAGTTATATCTTAATATATATATATATATATATATATATATATAAACAGAGAGACTCATTTATAGAATTTACATAGCTTCAGTTATATTATAGGCATTTAAAGTTTTTCACGTCATCCTTAATGATAGAAAAGTTAAAAAAAACAAAGAGCAAACAGAGTCAAAGAGCTGAGAAGAAGACAGCTCCACTTATCGTTAGTGTTAACAAAGAGGGTTAAACGGGAGGCTGCCTTTTGAATTCCTCTTCTGGACACTCTCTCTTTCTCACATCACCATGTTTTCAGCTTCATTAAACTCCTTAAAGACAAAAGGAATAAAGAGGCAGGAGAAGAAGAAAAAAGATGAGGGAAAAAACTAACAAAAGACCTCCCTAACCAGACTTTGGCATAAATGTCACAGTCCAAACTCTTTATGGCTCCCTACTTAACATTAAAAACACTCTCCACAAAAATCCATTTCTTGTTTAGAAAACGCTCTTGGACAGAAGTCAAACATATTATTCCGCCGCTAAAAAGCGGAGGAACACAGGCGGCTCACAAAAAAAGGGCACTTTCATTGTAATTCATTGACTTGTTCAAAACGCCAGGCGAAGAAAGGGGGCTAGACATTAATAGCCGCAGATGCCCTCATGAAGGGAGGGTCTATATGGCCTTTGTTCGCGCCCAGTTAAACTGTTTAAAAGGAGGGTTAACTCAATCCATCAAATTGTCTGAAATTGTGAGGAAATTTCAAAAACCATATGGCCTCCAAACGTTTGCGTCCTTTCTGTGCGGTGGGACACACTTGTCTCAGTATTGCTGCCTGCGGGGGACCGGCCCTGCGCCTTTGTGGCCCGTCCCATCAGGGAACTGCTGCTCATTTGTCCCCACTTTTCATGCTTTACGCACAAAATTACGGCCCAGTCCCGCAGAACAAAAACAGGGCTCAATAAAGGCCCGGAGAAAACTGGCCCAAAACTTTGTGTTTTTTGTGGCATCCTCCTCTTTTTTTCTCTCTCCCCCCCCGGCACCAGATTTGTGTTTCTCACATAAATTTTTACCACGAATGGAGAAACACGTCTGAGGGTCAAGAAGCCACGATACGCATTTAGGCTGCTGAAAGGGGATGTGAGATTCAAGCCACAAAATGTTTAGAGCATCATAGTAGAAAAGGACACAAAAGGGACAAAATAGTTGAGGATAATAACTCTAAATGGGCCGATTTTCATGGGCTTACACGCCCAGATTTGGCAAAGAGAGCGTGTTACTAAATGATTTTTGTCTCCAATAGATAAAACAAACTCTAGGCTTTTATATCCATAATAAAAACAACTCGGTGTTAATTCAAGAATTACAACATATAATATTATATTCAGAAAAGCCATTTTATTCCCATAGTAGCCTATATACATTACAGTCTGTGCATTGGTTTTTCAAATAATGTCCTGATTTTAGAAAGGCACTTACAGGTGTACAAAACATAACAAATTTCGGCTATAACTGTAAATCTATTGTATCCAAACAATAAATCTGAAAGTAGCCTACAGCTCGTCAAAATCACCGCAGTGTTCTCTGGTGTTGTTCCCTCGCCATCGCTGGAGCAGTTTCCCAGAATAACAACGCACAAAAAGCATGTGAATGTCCGAGTTTGCCTTTTTTACGTTCAGCATCATCATCATCATGCACTGCAGCATCGGGTACCACTAATATATGAACTGAAGGCAGGTGATGATGAAGAGGAGGAGGAGGAGCCGGCAGTGACAGAAGTGACTTAATGGCGACTTGGCTCACGGAAAAGACAAAAGCGTTTAAATTAAAAAAAATATAATATTATAAAGTCAAAATAAATATATAATGATCACAAATCAAATCATGCATTTACATGCAAAAGTATGGAAAACTGGAGCACTTTGAGTGTGTGTGTGTGTGTGTGTGTGTGTGAGTATGTGTGTGTGTCACAGGCCTTTAGAAAAAGCAATGGAACAAGTGTGCGCGTGTAAATCTTTCTGTGTGTGTGTGTGTGTGTGTTTGTGTGTGTGTGTACGTGTGTGTGTGTTGGCCTGCAGTGTAAAAAAATAATAAGTTACTCATGTTCATGTTCGACCATATTGCTCTGATTGCATGGAGTAACAGTTCGCGTATGGATACACTGTAAAATACCACTGCATATTTCTGGTTCAGTGTTCATGCTTCACTATGAATAGGTCTATCTGTGCCGATATAAAAGTCATTACATTTTGGTACATGTTCTGAGATATGGTATACAATATAAGCAGTAAGTTACAAGTCCTCGGTGGGATTTTCTTTTTTCTCTTTATCGTCTCTCTGTGTTTGTTCTCGCCTCCTCGGCCCCACGCTGCGCCATCAGTCATCCACATCAATCTCCACGTCCTCGTCCTCTGAGCACTCTTTACTCGTTGTGTGGTCTGAGAACGGAGACAGCGGCGACGACCGCAGTTTCTGGGCGAGCTCGTGGTTCTGCTTGCCGCCCCGCGCCGGTGACTCGGGGCGCGGGTGGCCCAGCGTGCCGTTGGCGCATTTCTCCAGATCCGCCAGCTTGGCGAGCTTGTCCAAGGGAACCTGGCCTACGGCCTTGGCCGACTCCACGTCGGCCTTCATCTCCTCCAGGTCCCGTTTTAGCTTGGCTCTGCGGTTCTGAAACCACGTGATGACCTGCGCGTTCGTCAGGCCGAGCTGCTGCGCGATCTGGTCCCGGTCGGCGGGGGACAGGTACTTCTGGTACAGGAAGCGCTTCTCCAGCTCGTAGATCTGGTGATTGGTGAACGCCGTCCGGGACTTCCGACGCTTCTTCGGAGTGGTCCTCTGGCCGAACAGAGTCATCCCGTCCCGGCCTGTGAGAGAGGAGAAGAGGCTGAGTGAAAACCACTGAAATACGCAGGTGCTGGGGTTTTATCCGCACCGCTGCAGTGCGTGCGTAAAAGTGATCACAACGCAAA